CCCCGCCCCCTCCCTGAGAAAATGCCCCAATTAGTTCAATGGCCCGGTGGGATGACCCCCCCCCCCATCCTCTCGCTGCCACGCTGCGCCCTGCAGATAACTAGTCTTGCTGACAAACGAGCTGCTCTAAAGCCCAGGACTTCCCCCCCACCCCCGCCGGCAGATGGGTTTTGGAGCTGTAAGTGGAGACGCGTGGGGATTGAGGTGGCATTTGTTGAGCGAGGCCACCCTGTCCCATGGGAGCAGCCACCTCGGAACTGGGCTCGGAGGGGAGAGGATGAGGGGAGAAACCCAATACCCCTCTTGGCTCGGTCATGGCTTAATTTAGAGCATGGGGGCTCTGCTAGAGCGTTTTTTCCATTTAAAGCCGAACCTCATTCCTTTTGCCATGCATGGGGTGAGCGTGCTGCAGCTTGCAGGGCAGTAGCAGCTGCTGGCTGCGGCTGCTGGAGACACTGGAAAAGCTGTTTCCAGCTGAGTTCCCCTTTGCCACCAGCTTCCTCCCCACTTCACCCACGTGAAGGGCTGAAAATCTGTCTCCTCCTCGCTCCTCTGTCCTGCTTTGGAGCCCCGGGGAGGGTGCAAGGCACCCGCAGCCCCTATCTACGCCTCTAAATTGGAGCCGTGACAGTGGGATTGGCTTTGACCTGCTGGCTGATCCTCTGCCACTTGGCCGAGCAGAGCCCAGGGCAGGGAGAGCTCGCCTGTGTCGATACTGTCTATATTTAACCACGCTAATGCAACTTAATTCTTGTTACGGCCAGTTTGGAGAGCTGCACTCTTGCGATGTCCGCTCTTGACAGGTAGATGCCTTGCAACAGGCCGAAAGGAAAACGATGACAATTCATCAAAGGTCATTTATTCCCAGCAGTTCAGCTGCACTTTTAAAATCGGATGCATCCGTCAGGCACTTTCTGGCTGCTTCGTGGAAGTGCTCTGCCCAGCTCCAGGGTAGGAGACAACCTTTGGCTCAGCCCAAGTGTTTGGAGGACTCGTATTCTTAGCATACATTGGCTAAAAGCTGGCCAAATCCTAACGCAGAGTGTCCGTAGCCTTAAATACTTGCAGCAAAATCAACCTTACGCTGTTCTTCGCAGTTTAACTGTACCCACCAGCCTGTGCCAGCGATGCCGAGCCTTGTCACCGCTAGCTTGTCACCACCATTAGCTACAATGAGAGACTGAAAAAACTCAGAGCTTACCCAAAAGCGGCCCGTGACATGGCTTTACACTGGATGAAGGCTGTCCCAGCGAGGAAATGCTGGGCACTCACACCGCTTTTATCTAGTGAAGAAGAGCGTAACGATGACTGGCTGCAAACTGAAGCCAGAGAAACTCAGATGAGAATTGAAGCATGGGATTTTAACGGGCTGGTAATTATCCACAAGGACAAACTTCCAAGGAAAGCAGGGGGTTGGGGAGGTTTCAGATCAAGCTCAGCTACCTCCCTAAAAGAAATGTTGTAGCTCAAACAGCACATCAAGCGTGCTGGAGAGATTCTGTGCCTGAGGACCAGCGTATGGGTTTTCGCAGGCAGTGAGAAAAATATTTTCACTGTTTTTATTCTGAGTGATGGGTTGGGGGACGTGGGGCTGCTGCTTCCAAGATCTGTCAGGGTTTCTTACATTCAGCAACAAAACGACATGCGCTGCAAGAAAAATCGGTATCATACCTTGAAAACTGGGAATCAGTTGCTGCAGGAGTCTGCAGCAGCAGAGAATTCGAAGGCAGATCAACTCTGTGGAAGCGCAGAGGGAATTTATTTCAAAACTAAGGTGAAAATTGAGAAGATCTGGACAATTTGGCTTGTGTTCAGACCTTGCCACTACTCTGTGACAGGAGACAGATCGCACATTTCCATGAGAAACAGTTACTTACAGGTACGGGCTCTCTTGACAAACTATTTCATAGTGTCTTAGTTCCTTCTTTGTCAAGGCGTGCTTGTGTGTGTGTGGCGTGTGTGTGTTTGTGCAGAAAAAAAAAAAAAGAGAAAATGCTTCTGTGCAACCCCAAACAAGCATATGTTTAAAGAAATGAGTGTTGCAGCACTTGAGAAGAGGTTCGCACCATGTGCTAGCGAGCCATATGTGTTCTGTAACATAGAGCACTCCCAGTTTCTTATCTGCATTTCATGGGTTGATTCACAGCCACCCCAGGAAGAATTTTGCTGGAGAGTGGTATGATCTTCACTGCTTCATCACGGGACAGGAGACAAACGCTGACTGTGTATTAGAAAGGACGGCAGATTGCCTCTCCCGTACTTAAGTGAAAATATTATTGATTCACACTTCTGTGTAAGCGAAATCAGAATCTCCAGCGGCAAGCTACCAGCCTGCATTTAGCAGCCACCGCATAGCAAAATCTCCACACCTCTGCCACAGCTCAGGCAGCCTTTCAGAGGGATCCGCTCACTACCGCAGGTCCTTAAAATATCTGTCAGAGGTGGGCTGATCAATTTGGTCTGCTCACTCTATCCCATGCTACATAATCGTGGAGATGGAGTTGAACAGAAACAAACCGCAGCTCACTTGAGTGAGACTCTGTCTGTCTCTTGAGCAAGGATTTACGATTCCTCGAGTTGTCGGGAGGAGAGGATTGCGGGTTGCAAGATGCCTTTTCCTCTGATGCTACCAGCAAGGTGAGCAGGAGGAATTCGGCAATGAACCGTTTTGGTCCCGTTTTTTTTTCAGGAGAGAGACACCTGACAGCTTTGCTGAGCTATAGGCCAGTGCTGGGGGAGCGGAGCAGGGCTCTTAAGTACAGGGAGGGTTAACTCTCAGGAGCTGAGCTGCTTCTCTACTAGTGGCCTCCTCCATCAGGGACTCCGTGAGCGGTTTGAAGAGAGACATCTCTGAACCTAAGCAGGAAAAAGACAGGGATGACACCACCCTCACCGCATCTGGAGTAACTCCCGCTCTGCTCTCTTTTTCACTCTGCCTTATCGCAGGGCAAGTGGAGTCAGGATGCAATCCCTGTTCCGGGGAAGGGAGCAGCAGCTTGCCTGTCCACAAATCCACTTTGCACTGGTGGTGGCTGGGGTTAAAGTCTGACAAACTTCACAGCCACAAAAAGAGGCTGACAAAGCAACGCAGAAAAAGAAGAGCTTTCAAGACTTTCAACCGAGAAACAAAGCAGCACTATACAAAAATGACTAGCTCTCCATTTGCTTTTAATCCCCAAGGCTAGCTCTCTGCTGGCAGGCTGCATGCTAATGCCTTATTAGCTTGCGCTTGGTGTTCTCACCATGCTGCAAGAGAAAAGGACAGAGATGCAAGGGTTTTCAGCATCTCCAAAAGTCCCGCCACTACTGCAGTGAGGACCTGCCTGTGTTTTGTTAGCATTTCTTCCTAGCGAGAACAAGACCTGCCTGAGGGATGAATGCAGAGACCCAGGAATAGGGAATTCATAACCTGGATGGCAAGTTTCGCATGGAATGAGCTGAACGTACGGTGGGTCTGACTGACTGCAGGGGCAATCTGCACAGTCTACCTTTTCAGTGGAAACTCCACCGAGTTTCAGAAAACTCTGCTGCCAATATGTTCAAGCAAAGAAACAGGTCGGAATGGTGAGTGGAGCTCCCCCCCCCGCAGAGTTCACTTGCAGATATTCACAGGCCAGGCTAATCCACTCCCTCAGCACTTAAGTACTACAGAAAGCCTGAGACAGACAGGTATCGGTGTGCTGATAAAAACAGAACTCGGTTTGTTCCTGGCACGATTTTGGAAGGGGGCTGGCATAACTTTTGTATAGCAAATTCCTTCATGAGCTGATAAAGGCAGCAGCATCTTGAATATCGAGGCCTCTTGAGGAAAATTCTATTGAAACTAGGGAGGTTTTGCCCAAAATCACACTGCAGAATTGCAGCTTCCTAAACTGCACCAACTTATGGCATGTGCAGTCTGAGAGCCAGCTGCTGGCTAACTCGTACAGACAGAATTTGCTGACATGCAAAACCTTCACTCTTTTTGTATTTCATCTCCATTTCTCATCCTCTTCTGCAAATGCTAAAGAAATGACATGATCCAAGGCTGCAAAACGGCACTGCCACTGCATTTCAATTCATGGGCACGATGCCTGGGCTCTCTCCCTGCTTTGCAGTCCAAAGGACTCTGAATATCTTGCTTAACTCTTCTCTTGTTTCTGCTGCCGAATGGCCTGTAAAAAGATATCCTTCACTTGGTCCATTGTGTCTTGATACAGTTTAAAGTCTTCCTCTTTCTTTCTCACAGTAGTCTCCAAAGCGGCCTTCAGAGCTTCGTTCTCATCCAGCTGGATCACAAGCCTATGAGGAAACAAAAGGAAAACTTTCATGTGAGCTGTGGAGCTTCAAAGCAAATTAGAACAGCTCTGGGGAAGAAAACACTGAAACACATGCTCTCTGGTAATTTTATGACAGGCGTGAGAATGAGCAGACTTAACACTTGTTCCTTCTCTCTTTGAGATAGAAAAGAGTATTAGATGACCAAGATACTTTTCAGATCTGTTTTGTTAAAGATTATAATTTTATTTTCACTAGTAAGTTTGCAATCAATGCATAAGGAAAGAAAAAAAAAAAGGTGTCTTCCTTGCACGTGTTTTGTGTTGCTTAACATTTACGTTAGCTTAACATTTCTGGGTATCTGTATAATTATTAGGAAATTTGTGTAAGAGTGACATAGACAAGCTCAAACCAGAGGATCTGTGATTTCTACAGAGTTTGCAAGATTTTGTCTTCTGAGGAGCGGGTGCAGGTAATATCACTGCTAAGAGGACAGCAATGAATTTTAGCTCTTGCGAGTAACACAGCATGGAGGAAGGGAAACCATACCTTGTGCTCAGCTCCTCTATCTGCGATTCCAGAGGCAACTTGGAAAGCTGGGCTGCAGAGAGCTCCTTCCTATCGCTCACATTCGAGGTGAGTCTTGAGTGACTTGCAGACTGGCCTGTAGATTTAATCACAAAATGGAGTTTTAGTAAAACAAGCAACCATTTTCAATTGGTAGCACACAGAGTAAATCTCAGGAAACAGTGAATAAATACTAAGGAATCTGCTAAGTTCTATGCATACCCATGAAGATACTACAAATATATAGGACAGACTTTTATTTTAGTCTCCTTTCAGCAAAATGAAAACATGATGAGTTTGCATTTCTGGGCTAAATGCAGTAATATGTGTGCCTACCTATTTAGAGAAGAAAAAAAATAATCCAAAATACTTAAGTGGCCAAAACAATAGGTGACAGAAACAGTTGAAAAGGATTATTTTGATGTTTATCTTGTCATTGTGCTTCACTTAAGATTATGGCAACTCTTGCTTCCTGAATGCCTGTGATAATGCTTGTGCGTGGCACACGCCAAAACAGCTTTTGTAAAGCTGTTAAGCACTTTGATCCTCAGCATAAACACAACATAGGTTAAACACAATAAAGCACTTAAACATGTACTTCAAACTAAGGTTCTAAATCAGGAATGCTTTCCTAAATAAAGGCCTACCCAAACCATGCAGCATTGCTCCTGTCATTTCAGAGGGACACAAAAACTTTTTTCAGGGTTATAGAGAAAATATAATTCACGTTTACTACTGGGATTGGAAAGGCAAAAAGCTGTGACCGACCAGTGAGTCCCTACAATGGAAGAAGACTCGGAGAAGACAGGCAAGTATGATGTGCTCAAGAAGCTCAGAAAGGAATGTAGGAAGTGACCACAGCTATCGCAGAGGATGCTGAACTTACCCCAACTCCAAGGGGACTGGAGGGTGGTCTTTGCTGTAGATAAACAGCTGAATCAGTCGAGTAAATGTAAATGGCCTTCTCTAAAATAATCAATAGAAAGTACTACCTACCTCGAGCCAGCTAGACCTACATGAGGGAAGTGTATATGTGGTTCGGCCTGGCTTCAACCCATGTATTCCTTTCCGGCAACTGGGGACACCCAGCATCGTGACAGTGAACATCTAGGCTGGTAATAGGAATCATATTTGTGTTGTGATTCAACTGTACATTGCAATTGCTATATTGTGCTTCTGTTGTGATTTCACTACATTGCTGTATCATTTTTCCAAATTAGAATCCCACATAACATCAAATATCTTCAAATAAGTAAATCTGGTGTTAAACTACTAAATCCTCCTCGTGTGGAATATCTAAAAGAACCTGGTCAGAGAGTATTGGACTCTGACAAGAAAACACGAGAAGAAAAGGCTATGTTGTATAACCAAGAAATGCTTTTGATCTTGAGATTGTGTTTTACAGGACTGAGGAAAACCTGTTGTTACTTAACTATTCTCCTTTGGGATTATTCTTTGCTAATTAGAAATTTGGATAAGACAGAAAAAAACCAAAAAGCATGAATAATTTTAAAACACAACTGGGTTGTTTCTAGCTACTCAGCATCATTATCTACTTCCCTTGATTTGAAGAGACTAGAAACATTAGATTAGCAATTAGATCAGCTCTCTCCAATTTTGCACTTTCAGAAAGAAAAGAAAATATTATGTTAATTAGCGGGTTCTCTAGTCTCTATTTTCTATTCAAGCGTTTCATTCCTTCTTATTTCCTCAACTATCTGGCATGAAAGCATTTAGATAACCTACATGCTCTGCTGAAGAGGTATATTACAGACTTGTAGACTCATTTCTTGTACAAACTCCAAAGAGTTTTGGCACATCACAAGGGGCTGAGCTGTCTTCAAAGAAGGGTGGTGAAATAGATTGTTATCTACTCATCTTACGGACTTAGGGAGGATTTCTTCTTATTAGTCTTACTGCCAATCCTTTCCTACATTTGCTTTTAGTCCTTAAGCAGACAAGACTAATGAACTAAGTACTTAGTAAGAAGGAACCTGTCACACTGGTAAGAACACCCTGCTTCCTCTGGCTATGAAATGCCGATCTCCCGGAGGTGAGTTACCAAACCATTACTACAGCACAACAACTTGACCAAAACGGCTCAGGACCTGGAGAGTTTATCGCTGTATCTCTCTTTGAGGTTGCAAGGGAAATCTAAGGGGAGCACATGTATGATAACGGAACAACACATCAACACTTTACACTACCAGGTTGTAGAAAAGTCTAAGCGCTCAAAAATTCAGTTAAACTATCCTCTAGAAAACAGCACCAAAATGCTCCCATACTATTTAAGGCATGGAGTCAGTAAAAAGTGTACCATTGAGAGCTGTATTCCCATAACTCTCACCTGGCTACTACCTGTCCCTACACACACCCTGATTTCCTCCTCTGGGCATCTGCAGAATGGTACTGAAGGCTCCAAAACCTCTCATCTCCAAAGCCCCCTGGGAATCACAAAGGGCATCCCACGATACCACTTCTGTGAGGCCCAGCACTGCTCTCTTATCAGGATGAATGTCCTGTATCCTAAAGGCCAAAGGCTGCAGCACTTTGTTTCTGAGCACTAGGTTGCTATTAGGATCTAACTTTTTCTGCTGTCAGGCTCTCGGTTAATACAGGTAAGACAGCTCTGAAAATCAGCGCTTGCAGAAAAACACGAGTCAGTGTTGGCTGGAGCCCTTTCTAAGGACACAACAGTTCTGCCCTAAGGAACGGATCCATATTTTACAGAGCGGTTTGAAGCAATCATTCAGTCCCCATTCAGGATAAAGACTCTGAATCCTGTTCCCGTATACCTAATTCTCTCTATAGGCTGGATGGGTGAATGGCAGTGCTTCCCTTGAGGTCCTGAACACCGTGTAGATGTTACACTGGAGACCCTAGCTCTCCTGTATGAATCAAGATCATAGCGAACAACAACGTGATTTCTTGCATCACGGTCCTGCTCCAGAGAGAACTTATTGTCAAACATGCATATGAGCAAGAGCACTACGACGGGAGATGCAAAGAAATGCAATGCAGTTACAGTAGCATTTCTTACCTCGGTCTGACCCATGCCTAAGGAGAAACAAGACACCAGTGCAGGTGGAAAAGGAGGTGACCGCTTGTACAGGTCATAGTGCTCAGTACAGGTCAGCTCTAAGGTGATGCGGTAGCGTTAGTGCACACCGTAGTGCTGGATGGAGTCACGATGGAAAGCCACGCCATGCATCTGCTGAGCTGCAGGGCAGTCCCACCACGGCCCAAGATCATGTGTTTCAGTGTGGGGCAGGCCAAGAGCTTGTACAAAGTCTCTGATGAGGCTTGTGACCTCTAATCACCGTAATTCAGCCTGACGGCATCCTAGTATTTGCCAAATTGAAATTCCTATTCCTACTGTTCATATCCTGGCATTTAAAGTCTTTTTACTTTATGAAAATACATATAAAAAGGGAAACCACTGGAAAAGTTTCCTTAAGAATATGTGCCATTTTATTGGTTTAGACGCTTTACAGAATCAGGGTCCTTAAGAAATAAAAGGATCTGATCAGGGAAATAAAAATTTAACATCCACCATGAATTCTTCTCCTTTAACTATGCTAGTGAGGCTTTCATATTTATAGCAGGAGATTATCATGTTCATGGGATAATAAATTACACCAGATCTAATTACTTCATCACCAGCAATAGTTTTTCATAGACACTGACAGGCCTTAAATTGGGATGCGTCCTTTAATTCTGCTCTTAACCTTCAGATGAATCTCTCGGGCAGAAGTGCAAAGGGAACACAGCAGTGGGCATGGTGGCAACACAGAGCAGTGTCAAGTTTTTACTGTAGACTGTCATCCCATGAAAACAACATATTGCAAAAGTCCTGGTCCCACTTAAATCTGTGGCAAAATCCTCTTGAATTAAGCGGGGCCAGGATTTCACCTTCTGTATCGGTCCACTGGTCTGAGTAGGTCCAAATCTCCGTGTGTAAGGTCAAGCACTTGTGTAGGTTTGATAGATAAGAGTCCAAATGTTGTTGCTATTAACCACAGAGGTGGGACGGGGGACACAGTTGTAGATAAGTGCTCCACCTCACCTGTTTTGCTCCTCAGGGGAGGCTTCTGTGTACTTGTGTTCCTCCCCGGATCCATCTGCAGTTTTTCAAGCTGCTGTTCCAAAATGACACATCGCCGCCGCTCTTCTTGAAGCCTCTTCTCAGCTTCCAGGACTTTATCGCTGCCTTCCTCCACCCTGACAGGCAAAAAAAGGTAGTTCAGCTTATGTATGTCATGGCTATTAAGGATCAGTCAGTCTTGATACGGAATCCTGCTTCATGCTGCATAGCTCCCAACAGAGGGAAAAGGAGAATTTTCCATGCATCCAAAGGCAGAAACCCTAGTGCAATTGTTCCGGATGACATCCTCAAAATTTGCAAAACAGAATTAACTAATGAGTACAGTTGGAAATAATGGGTTCGTTAATGGAGGTTGCCTGGATCCCTTAACGCTGGCTACTTATGTGAATTTACCACTCAGATAGGCAGGCAAGCTGCAGATTGCTGAGGAGAGATCTTTTATTACAATAATAATAAAATGTATTTTTTTAAAACACACTGGGAAAATTTGGAAGGAAAACAGTTTATAACAACACTGCCTAGCATTTAGCTGTTTTGCGTCAGTTATCTGCAAGTAAGAAAAGAAACTTGATGTTGCTTTTAATAAACTTGGCCATTAGACAGCGAGTGGAAAAAGAAAGTGACGGTTCACTCTGCAGTACAGAACGGAAGAGCAAAGTGCCTCTCTATTCACCCCGCACAACATCTTAGAAATTTAACTACGAAAATTTGATGTGCGCCCACAGATGCAGTCAGTGATGCATCTCGTGTGGGGCAGCGCCTGAACCAAATGATTTAAAGGAGTTTAAAGCTAGAGAGAAACCTGAATTGACTCACTGTATTGTATAGTGCAGAATAAAAGAACGTCCATCTCGACCCCATCTGGGTGATAGCTGATTACTCCCTGAATCAAGAGACTTGATTAGTCTTATTTCCCTCCTAGCTGGCATAACTAAAAAAATATTACAACTATAATAAAATTATATCACTGTGTTAAAAATCTAGCTACAGGCGAGACTCTGACCTCCTGTGGCAGTGAATTACCAGGCTGGTGACATGCTATGAGAAATTATATTTATCTCAGTGGTTCTGAATTCACTAAATTTTCATTTGACCAGGTGTTCCCCTAGCGTCCACGTTAGACAAACAGCAGAGGAAAAATGCAAGACTAGTTGGTTTTTATTAAATCTTCTGCCAATATGAATAACTTAAACTAAAATGTTCCTCTAGCTCTTCCCCTTCCCCCAGCAGGGCCCAATCCTACAAACCGTTTACAATGGAGTGTCTTCTGACAGTATATTCTGTTCCGCAGTAAGCGATTGTGAAACACAGCCCTAAATTCTGGCAGCTGCTGTAGAAAAATCCCGCTCATGTAACCATTCCCAGCGCTCTTCTCTTGACTTAAGCATTGTATGTGTTACTTGAGCTTTGTTGACCCACACTCCAACAGGGGAAGGGAAGAGGAGGAATACCCGATTTTTTTATATATATTCATGTTGAAATATGACTGGATGCTATATTATCCTGAGGTCTTCCAAGAGTTATTGCACACAATCTCACAGAATTTACTTTACCTGCAGGAGCTCTTGATAAATGTGTGATAACTGTGGAGCTGCTGAATCATCAGTCTATGGTACATTTTACAAGCAACTGCGCATTTCATTGACTCCGTGTTCTTCATTATCCCATATTTGTGATGGCCCCATTTCAGCTATCTCTCACACCTCCGTCCTTATCTAATTGCACAGCTCTATTAAAGTCACTGGGCTTACAAACACGAATAAGATTCTCCCAGCGTGTATTTCCAGGATTTAGCCCTTAAAAGCACCTTTACCACAGTTACAAAAAAACGTATTTTTCTGACTGTGATTAATTGTACGGGACAAAAGTTAGACAAGTGAGAAATGATAACTATTGTAAAATAAAGCAAGCAAGCAAGCAGACATGCCTATTGTATTCAAAAGCACACAGACAAAAGTATATCTTCCTACAAGCTGGAATACAGATTTAGGAATCAAATAATATACATTCTCTAACTGGGAAAAAAAGCAGCAGCTGAAAGGTGTCCAAAGAGAAAAGACTTTGCTTTCCCTGCCCTCCCAAAACATAGTTGGCTTTTAACATCATCTTAAATTGAATTGAATAATAGAAAAAAAAAATCGCCGCTATGCTTCAGTTAAACCAGAAGAAATTAATTTAGAAGAGGATACAGTGAAACTTAAAAGAATGTGAAAAGCTTTTGGAACAGAAGTCAGATTATAACTATAATTACAGTATTTACTACTGATGAATAATATTGCTGCCTAAATAACACGACGCATATATAAATACGTGAATTGTAGTTTTATCTAAGTGCAACAAGCTTGAAGATGACTCCATTTTTTCTGCCCTTTGTTCCGAAAGAATAATAAAAAAAAAGAATCATCAACTAGGCAGGGAAATGGAGCAGAAAAAATTTGAAAGCCCCTATTTAAGGAAAGGATCACACTGGCAGCGCATGGTGTACTGTACTGCATGCTATAGACTCTCACACGTCTCAAGCACTCCTTAATTGCAGCATCCCACAAAGGATACTAGCAGAATCAGCCGCTACCTTTTCTGCAGCACAGTGACCAGTTCCAGGAGCCTGTCTCTTTCCACTTCAGCAGCCTGGCAGAGAGCCTTGTGCTCTGTGATTTGTGTCTGCAGCACTTTCAAATCCAGGCTGTCACTGCCAGCAAGCCTAAAAGCAGCAGAAGCGTAGAGAGTCTGTTTCCCATTTCACAAATGAAAGAAATGAAACAAAGACAGGATTTGAAAAACATATCAAAATACACTTGTCTGAAGACTAAGCCAGAATGCAGAGCCGGGCTCACTACCTCCCCCCAGCATCAATCTCTATACTGCAATAAATGGAATAGAAATGTGGGGAAGTAAAGCCACCGTCAGTTTCATGAGAAAGGTCTTTTCCTTCGCAAGGATGCTCTCCCTTCTCATCACCCCTGAAAAAAAACTTCCACCTCTGATCAGTTCACTGTCACTGACTCTCCTCCCATTGCTACGGCCAAAGTAAAAGAAGCCTGTACGTGGATTCTCCAAAGTGCTACGCTAAGCTATTAAATGGCATGCTATCGATTTTCTCCCACTGAAAGGCTTCAGGCAACATTAGTACAATGGCAGTTCTTGTGTCTAATATGTGATGAAAGGAAGGGGCAGTTTTCCCATGCATCCCATTATTATGTACTTCATTACTTCTCCGACCTCTCCGCACAGGAGTATTCAGGAATATCTCCTTTAGAGCAAAAAGCAGGAGAAATCTTGGTGATTGGGGGTGAAAAGGATAAAATGGGATTTATGGGGTATATAAAGAAGCTGTTCATTACAGAAACAAGGCGGACAAGGATAAGGCTTGCCAGCAGCTTGTGGAGCGTGGCAGGAAACATCCCTTGTTTATGATGAAGTTTACATACATACCTTCCAGGTGTGACGTTATTACTGAGAAGGGAAGGCTTAGTAGCTGCTGACTCTACAAGCGTATGGCCCATCTTGGACACTGTCCTGAGAGGAAGAAAGCTTTGTTAAGCACTGAGCTCTACAGAGGGCAGTCCTCCAAGAACTCCAGTCATTTTCCAATGTCTGTGTTATTGCTGC